CGAGTAGTTTAAGCCTGTTAATAGAGCCCTGTCGGCGGACTGGCTCCGAGTTGATTTATAGTTTTTTGCATAACGTATTCCGTTCTAATGGTTTTCTTCCGATTGATGCCGTATGCCGAGATGAATGGAATCCTTGTCAAATGGATGCGAAATAATGAATCCATCACAAATAACGTGAACGGCGAAACATCGGATCGGTCACGCTACACAGGCCGACATCTAGGGAGTTCGACTGCAATCAATCATACCGCACTGGCAGGGCAGAGGGAGAAAGTGCATCGGCCAGCTTCATCGGCTGCTCGGAATGCCGCTGTGGGATCTTCCTTGCCGACTCGTTAGGCTCGGATCAGGCCTCCAATTAGGAAAGGATGAGTGCCTGAGTGGTCGGTGGACAGGTTCTTGATGGGGTCTCCGCTGTTTCCCCGATTCCCTTCTTCCCGGACGGTTTTCTTACTCGTTGCGTTTGTTCCTCTTAGCTGGCATCGCTAACGTGATGTGTCATCCGATACTTCATTTCGATTCTTCGAAGAGCCAATGACCTAAGAGAGAGCCCATACCCGAGAGACGTAAATAGGCTTCGTCCAAACAGGCTCACTTCTTGACTTGTGCCGTCGGAGAGCCTGCGCCACCGAAGGGAGAAAGAAAAAAGGAAAAAGAAAACGAATAAAACGAGCCTCGCAAGTAACTGCGTCATCGTTCGCGATCCTCGCGACCCGAAGGCAGCGACACATGCCAGTTTTAATGTTCGTTTCTTCTGGCATCGGCTTCTTTCTACTCCGGGGTCGTAGGAGCCGGAGCGACTCCACTTTCTGGGCAATCTCCCCGTATATCTCCATTATTATTATTTATTTTCCTATTAGCGAGGACGGGAGAAACTGTATTGTACTCGCTGTCAGCTACACGAATGCCCATTCAGAGCTTTTCTCTCTCTCTCTCTCTCTGTCCCTCTGCTGCATAACCGCCTAATGCCACTCTATTTAACCTCATTTTTTCCTGATGACGAAAAAGTTCATTAATGGCAGGTTTTGGCCCTAGAAAAATGTGCGAAGTTCGTGCGAAGTGCGTTCTTCAAGGTTCTAGCCGAAGCGCAATGCTGAACTTGATTGCAAAAAAAAAATTGCGATTGCTGAAATATTGCCAATCGCATTTAGCTATTAATAGCGATTTAGCATTTATTCTTGCGTGACGCAAGAGCACTCTGAAGGTTCGAAGGATGCGGTATGTTACATCAGTTGAAAGTGCTCTCTTACGACCCTGTACCTGCTTATGTAATTGCATTAGTTATTTATATATTTGATACATTCTTCGACCGGAAGGGTAATCATGCCCACAGAGGGAATTTCCGTCACACCTTGATTGCTTACCTTCATTCAAGAAGTGCTACTCCGGCCCACTACGAACATTGGTGTATACTGATGTAATTATCGATATGAAATGCCCGGGATCCTTTTCTTTTTCTCCCGCGAATGGCTTCAGAAGCCGAGGTAATCGACCCTCGAAGATTGCATCGTCTTTTCCTTCCCCGCGAAAGTGTCATCGTTGTTCTGGCACTGAAGCAGCGCGACTGTCTGGCTTTCCAGGATCCAGCGAGGGTCTTCATCAATAACATAATCGTGAGATTCCATTCCGGCTTGGAGCTGGACGGCGACGAGGTGAAGACGATCATCTGCAAGTACCCCGAGCCGCGAGCCCCGCCTCCCGTCGCCCCCGTTCCCCTGTGAGTGGATTTCCTTCGTCGTGCTGCCGTGGTTTTTCTTTTGCCGGCTCATATCCGTTGAGTTGAATGCGAAATGTTCATTCTTTTTCTGCACAGAATTCCGCCAGAACCTCCAGCGGCTGTCGTGCCTCCTCCAGCGTCGTTGGGAGAAGTGGAAATCCTGATGATTATTTGTGCCATCTTGTTCTTGGCCTTCCTCCTCCTGGGAATGGGTTGCTCCTATTACTGCCTGAAACGTCGAAACATCAAGATCATCAGGCGGAAAAGCCCCTCCACGATTCCTGGATCGGAGATCACCAAGCTGTCGGAGAGCTTGTTCGAAAATCTCAAGATCCCTCGGGCTCATGCTGCAAGCACCTCGGGAAGCGAGGCGAATCTGGTCAGCACGGAAGAGACCATCCCGAGCGACTACCCATCGGAATCTCCCAGCTCCTTGCATTCGGAGGTGGAAGACGTGGATACTCGCAGTTTGAAGAGGGAGAGCTCCGTTAGCTCTCAGTCTCTGAGGGAGTTGTCCAGCGTCTACTCAGATGCCCATTTGGCCATCGACCAAGAGCTCGTCACGGCCCCGATCTTGCATAGGCTTCCGCGACCGGAATTCGATGTTGCCGTGCGGATCAAGAAGGCCCCTAAGGTCCCGGATTCGAAGTTGGAGCAGATGAAGGCTCAGGAAAGGACCCTGACCACGATCCTCGAGAGGGAAGAGTCCCGGCGCTCCGACGACATCGAACACGGCCTGGCAGAAATGATCGAAGTCCCGGATTCGTTGCTTCCACCAGCCAAGAAGAGAGCCGGCCCTCCTCCAGTCCAGGCCAAGATCAGAAAGAGGCAGTTGGAGACGGCATACGAGGAACGGGACGAAACCGCCTCGGAAGTTTCAGACGCCCCCCCGCAACGCACTAAGTCCCTGAGCAGCTTGAACACGGAGATCACTGACACACGGTCCGTCACGGAAATGATGACTGAACAAGGTAGGGTGTACGAGCCACCGCCGCCACCCTCGGAATATACCAGCGAAGCCAGGTCAGTTTCGGACATGGAAATGGAAGGGGCCGTCGTACCACGACCTCCCCAAATATCCAAACACATCGTAGACGACCGTTACCTGACCACGATCACCGAAACGAAGACCTACGAAGATCTGATGAGACATTCCCGGGAGACGAAAGAATTGCACACGAAGCCGAAACCTCTTCCACCCAATTGGGACGTGATCATTCGCAACTATCCCGCTCCTCAACTCACAAACAGCGAGAGAGAAAGTTCTCTCTCCGATTGGGAGAAGTTCTCCGAGCCGGAGTCCATGGCGACCACCAGATATTCCGAACCCGGGTCCGAGAGACCGCGATCCATGTTCGATACCACGGAGGAGACGACCTATCAGACGACCCTGGAAGTCCAGAGAGAAGACCAGAGGATCTCCAACTGGGAGGTCCTCGTCAGAGTCCTCTCGCCTCCCCCGATGGAAGTGACCGCAGACTTGGGAGAGCCGGTGCTGACGGACGACGACCGCGAGAAATGGAGACGAATCATCACCACAGAATCCACGCTGAGAACTCTTCTGACGGAGGCAACCGTTCGAGAGGACTTCGAGAGGATCCGACAAGATCAAAGATACGAAAAGCTATTCGAACCGAGGAAATGGGATGTAATCATCAGAGTCCTGAATCCGCCCGAAGAAGACAGGAAATCCGATGGATCCGATTCCTCTTATCATCCCCGCTACCGGAAGAAGTCAGACGTGAGCAGCAGGCGCAGCGTGCCCAGTGAATACGACTCCGAGACTGCGCCTAGTCGAGGGCCCGGATCCACGAGATCCCGCCGCACGTCTAGGTCCAGTCTGGGCCTGGAAAACGACCTTCGTTCCATGACAGAGGAGACCGTGACGGACTTCGCCCGATCGGACATGGATAGCTACAGCGAAGCCAGCGGGCACACATCCCGACACCCGAGAAGCATGGCCGAGAGATCCACGTCGGAATTCACGGACAAAGTCCAAGTCCTCGACGAGGATCAGCTGAGCTCCTGGTCCCGCCCCAAGCGATCCAGTCGAGCCGAGAGCCAAAGATCGCTGGAGCGAGGGATGTCGGAATTCGCAGAAGATTGGGCCGCCCACCCAGAATCAGACAAGGAGAGTTTCTATTCCAGTTCCAGCCTGGGTCGAGACGGCGCTCTCGTCCCGGCGTCCGGCCCCCCACCCCCACCCATTCCCTCCCACGAGGGCGAACACCACGCCCAGGCCGCCGGCTACCGAGCCGTCCAGATGAGATCCGCCGTGGCTTCCCGGGATGATGGATCCACCCAACTCCACGCCGCCTCGTATCGCGGAGTCTCTCAATGGATGGAAGAGTATCACTCTCATCGATGAATTTAGCCGCCGTCCCCATCCCAGTCTTTTCTCTACGGTTCCACGTGGTGCTAATGCATTGAGGAGACGAATGGGACAGGAAGATGAGAGGTGCGTGTAGAGTGCAAGATACAGACACCGAAGACAGAGATACTAACTTCCGGCCATGAGAGGAACTAACCATGAATACGCTTGTACTGTAGATGGATTCTCCACATTCCTTCGTAACGACGTCTGTGATTACTCGACACCCCTCCTGTGGCTTGGGAGGACCACTAATAGTTATACTAAACGGAACTTGGAGCAGCGTGTGCAGCGGTAAATTATGCAGGTGCTGCCCCCAAGGAAAACGAGGAGAATCTCCGAGGAAAAAAAAAAAGACTTTGATGCAAGGCACATTGTGATCCCAAGCTCCCCCCCCCCCCCCCC